AAAGAAAGTCATGTCAATTACCGAGACTCTATCTCATAGTCACTTATTATTAGCAATAAATTTGTGTATAATTCCACTAGTTTCTTTACTTTCATATTGGGACTCATTTGGACCGTTATCCGTGGATGCAATTTTCTGCCACTAATTATTGTCCACTCAATGAAACAAGAATAAAGAACCCCAGATAGTGACTTTGTTTAATTTCTAATGGCACATAATCTGGCAGCAGCTTAATGCGTGTCCATTCTTTAAACATTGCATTCAATATTGGTCATGATTTTTATGCAATTTTGTATACAAAGTTCAGCCACTAATGTCCACTCACGGATTACTTTGTTTAGCTTCTAATGGCTCATGATTATGCAACAGCATAATGCGTGTCCATTCTTTAAACATTTTAATTGTTGGTCACTTCTATGCAACTATCTCAAAGAAGAGAATTGCAAAAGCTGAATTATCTTCGTTTAGTCACTGATGGACTGCTAAATTGCTAACACAAATGTTTTACTCCAAAAACCAGGAGTGACTCAAAGGATGAGACAGATTCATACATTTTTTTGATGGGCAAAAGGAAATAAAGGATTTTTCTATCTTATGTCATAAAAGTATAATTATTATATATTTTTATATTAATTATTATTAAAAAAATAAAAATTGATATTTTTAAGTAATTGTATAATTAAAATAATTTTTGTAATACTAATTATAAAATTAATGACAATTTTTATTTTTTTTAATATTAATTAATGTAAAAAAATACAATAATTATCCTTTAAAAACACAAATTAAAAAAACTACTAAGCACAAGGGCGCTGAGAGTCATATACAAATGTTTTCCTTGGCAATTAACAACCCAAAAGATAAGGGTAATAACAGATCCAAAATGCAAGTGACAAAGCTCGACTACAAATCTATTGTCAATAAAGACACACAAAACTCATCTATCTAAACTTGCAGACGCAATGGCATTGTGGCTGCATATTTGTGGGGGACACCGCAGAGTTTCGCTTTCCCTTTCCCCAATAAATGCTAATAAAAATTAATAAGTCTATTTTATTATTCAAATTGCATTAAACTGTAAAATAAAAATTATTAAATATAAAAAAAAATCTTAAATTTCAAAAGATCTATCTTTATCTAATAATTAATATAATGTAATTATATACAGTCTGAACTACACTACACATTTTTGATAAAATTATCTCAACCTACAAGCATTTCTTATGTTAGAAACCCAAAGAGAAAAGAAGAAAATATGAAGAATGGTTTCTCTTTTTCTTGAAGAGTAATGATAGGGAAGACCAAAAATTGAGACTAAAATTTGCGACCAATGACGTGAGGTACGTATACTATGTTATTAATTTATTTAATATATATAATATTATAAATTTTAAAAAATAAAAAAGTTAATTATTAAATAATATAAAATTTATTTTTAATATTTTAAATGATATGATTTATATTATATCATTGATTTCAATTTTTGATTTCAAATTTCATCTTATTTATCATTATTCTTTTTTGAATAGTTTTATGTATATATGTGAAATTTTTAAAGTTTATATAGTTCTTACAAGTCTAGAATAATTTGGGAATTGGCAATATCCCCATATAAAATCGCCTAGTAGAATATCGACCTAAGATGTAATAAATATTCCATAAAACAATAATAATAATAAATACAATATTTTTAATACTTACATATATATATATATATATTTTTGAACAGTGAAAAACTTTTGTTTCTTTTCCAGGGAAGAGGAAGGGACCTGGGATTTGATCCCAAATCACATTAGTCTTACGCACGTCCGCAAGGAGGTGGCCAATAAGCCACCATGTGCGGGACATACTTACATATATATTAGCTACCTAAAATATAATAAATATAATATTTATAATACTTACACGGATTTCTTAACCCCTTAAATTTATTGTAGTTGTAAGGAAACTAACTTCAATTTAGAAATAAGAATGAAAAAAAAAAAAAAAAGTCTCGGTGAAAAAATTCACCAACTAATCAACAAAGCCAATGGAAATCAAATGAATTGTTCCTTGTGCAACATGTTAGGGGACAAGATGATAATGGATCTCAATACATGTAGTGTATTTATGGATGGTATCATTATGAGCTATCTGAAATATAGCCCTTTAATTATCAAAAAAATATTGGTGTTTGCGAAGTGCTCAATACTCAACTATGCCAGAAATTAGAGAATCACCAAAAGTAAAAAGTAAAATGTAAAAAGTAAAAAAAAAAAAAAATGACAGTGACCAATGATGGTCAATCAATGATCTGTTAGCACTAGATAAAGCATAGAACTCTAGTGTGGAATGAAGAGAAGTGAAGTCCATGAAAAAGAGTGCCCTTGACATAGAGGACAATGTGAAGTCCTGCTGTATGGGAAGATAAAACCATAAATTGACTTACAATGTGAACTTATGAAGTACCGACAGACCACCAGGTTAATCTCTTAACGCAGACCTAGTTTTGTGATCTTCTCACCCTTTATAAATCTCTCTATATATTCTTCGGCCTTTCCCAAAAGACCCCTTTTGCAATAAGCACTACTAATTAATAAATTTGGAATTTGAGCATCGTAGACTGCATATCCAGATTTCCCACTCGTCATAAATCTTCTCTGCACCATAAAATCATCCAACTTAACTCATGATGTTATCATAGCTATATACCCTGAATTGTAGAATTTGGCCATTTTGTTTACAATGTCCCGTAAGCCAGCTTCCTTGTTTCGCTAGTGGTTAGTTGCCCAGGTTTCTTCAACATTTGCAAAGTTATTTCAGTAAGGCCAGCTTTCAAGCACCCATTCGCCGCAGCACCAGTAGCATACCAGTCCACTTTTGTGCTAGGATCAGCACCATCTTAATTAGAAGCTTCTCCATTCCCTCTACATCAGAAACGGATGCAAAAGCATTTAATCAGGCGCGGAATGATATTTGAGTAGAATTGATTGTTGAAGTATGTTGTTGTTTGTGAGTGTGAAGAATTAGAGTCCCAGTTGAAGTATGTTGTTGTTTGTGAGTGTGAAGAATTAGAGTCCCACATCGAAGATGCGTGAAAAGAAAATTTTAAATATATCAAAATTCATGTAATTATTGGATTAATTTTTTAGTTACAATATGGTATAAAAATATACGATGAGCCCACAAATGTGTCTTCTTGCTAGGCCATATGTCTCCCGATATCCACCTTCTCAGGTTGTTTCCTCAAAAATCCTCTAATGGCTTCGTACGTGTGAAATCTAGATGCGGATGTGTTACTTACTTTGCTGAAAGTAAGAAAGGAGGACTTTCCCAATGACCTTCTCCTACTTCACGGTCGACCTTTTTGCAAATGACGGGAAGAATGTTGGATTAAAATTGAAATCTGCGCCTACAGATGATTTGCAAGAGGGAGGAATACCTTCTTGCAGAATGGGTTACGAAATCTGCCTTGGACAACTCCAAGGACTTAAACACTACCGTAACTTAAGATTAACAAATCTTAATTGAACTAAATAACTTGTAATTTAAAATAAATTTATGAGAATAAAATGTGCCCAAATTAAATCAAACATATTCATTGTTAAATTAAAATGCTATCCACTGACAGATTTAGAATTTAAATTGCTACAGAATTAAAGATTTTATATAATTAACAGTAAAATTAACGTGAACAGTGATTAACCTAACATGCTTGAAGTTGAAAAGAAATGTGAACACCACATAAGTAATCATTGAATAAAATGCCACTTATCATAAACATTAAATTAATTGCAAATAGAAAGAGAACAATACCTTGCATAAACTTGAAAGATTGAAGTTCATTGTATGAAAAGAAATTGTTGAACTGAATACATGAATTAATTTGCCTACTGGAATGATGAAAAACAACCTAAATCGATCGAGATTTGTGCTGAAATCTGAAATCTGGAAGCAATTTACAGAGAAAATAAAAGTCTGAAAATTGGCAAATGTTTGAGTAGGGCTGGCCATGTGTTCTCTCTTCCAAAATTTCCTTTTTGTTCTCCTTTGGCAGGCAGTAACCCCCCACTTTCTACAGTTACAAAGTTGTGAGTGATTTCTTGAGATAGTGGGACAGCTCACCTATTGACTTGGTCTGATCTCCTTCCAGATTTTCACCACATGTGCCCTTATCAGATAAAACCCCTCTTTAACTGCAATCCTCTCGTATATTTTAGCTCAAACAGTCCCTTTCTGCCTCAAAGAGATAGTTACATAGTAAAATCTCATCTTTATCTCCCATTTTCTGCCAAAATGACAGTTGATCTATCATAAGACCCAGAATCACGAATCTGATATGGCTTAATCTCCTCCATCCATTTAAAATTTTTTGATACGTGGCATGATCTTAAATTTTTGCAATTTATGGTGTAAGCACAGGTCTTCCCTGCTGTGCATATAGCAGCAATATTGCAACGTAATGCAATACACTTTTTATAGTGCCGAACTCTCTCACTTTTGCTTTGTGGCCTCTGCCTTCTCCAAGCACTTATTTTGGGCATAGCAACTGAAAAGTACACTGTAAATTTCCAATAACCTCATGGTTTCAGAGGGATGCTACCGAAGAATAGCAGTCACCATGTCATCCATTCTAATATCTGACATGAAAAATATGAATACTGAATTCAGAAGCCTTATTTTATAGATTAAGAAGTCAAATTTCATATTCAAAGATGATTTAGCATCCCTGAAGTTGTAATGTTAAACTGCAAAAAAGCATTAAAACCCTTCAATATCACATCCTTAAACCTAATTTAGCACATGAACTATTTCTTCTTACAATTTAG